CAACATTTCTCACATATTTTGGTAATATCTCTAAATGCAGTGCGAACTACAAGTCCGGCACGGATGGGTCTGTGTGCCAAGTTTGGTCCAGGTCCGTGTTTGGCTGGGTGCAATTCCTCTATTTGCTGTGTACCAGGGGTCCTCAAACTAAGGCCCGCAGGCCGGATACGGCCCTCCAAGGTCATTTACCCGACCCTTGCTCAGGGTCAACCTAAGTCTGAAACGACTTGAAAGCACACAACAACAACAACAACAATCCTTTCTCATCAGCCAAAAGCAGGCCCACGCTTCCAATTGAAATACTAATAAGTTTATATTTGTTAAAATTGTTCTTCATTTTAATTATTGTATTGTTTTTAAGTGTTTTCCGCACTACAAATAAGATATGTGCAGTGTGCTTAGGAATTCATTCATGTTATTTCCAAATTATAATCCAGCCCTCCAACAGTTTGAGAGACTGCATGGAGTCATGCAAATTCCTCACCAATGGAGAGAGAAAGGAACACTGGGATGTGGCGCTCACTAGAACCTGCAATGTTCTTGGACGGAGGGCTATTGGTGTCTCCAGAGTAGTGGGAGCTATAGTTCTTTGCGGAGGCAGGAATTTGCCTGTTTAGGTAGACACCCCAGCCACATACACACATATTTTCACTTTTATTATATGTATAGATTTACTTGCTTACTTACTCAGGCGATCCCTTGTTGTCCACATCTGATGGCCTTCCAAGTGCAGTATCTTGGTGGTGGATACGTAGGTGACTCCGGAGACCAATTCTTGATCCGCATGTTCTTCCATAGTGAGGACATCGGTTTCCAGGTGGAAGACAGTCCTGGTCAGGGTTGGCTTGATGTGCCTTACTCTTGGCACGTTTCTCTCTTATGCCCTCTTCGAATTCCACAGCACTGCTGGTCACAGCTGACCTCCACCTGGAGCGCTCAAGGGCCAGGGCTTCCCAGTTCTTGGTGTCTATGCCAGAGTTTGTATGGTTGGCTTTAAACCCAACTTTCAATCTCTTTTCCTGTCCACCAAAGTTACATTTTCCGTTCTTGAGTTCGGAGTAGAGCAACTGCTTTGGGAGACGGTGGTTGGGCGTCCGGACAACGTGACCGGTCCAGTGGAGTTGATGGCGGAGGACCATCGCTTCAATGCTGGTGGTCTTTGCTTCTCCCAGCATGCTGATATTTGTCCATTCGTCTTCCCAAGAGATTTGCAGGATTTTTTTGGAAGCAACGCTGATGGATTCATTCCAGGAGTTCAGTGTGACGTCTGTAGACAGTCCATGTTTCACAGGAATATAGCAGGGTTGGGAGGACAATAACTTTATAATCAAGCACCTTGGTCTCCCTACAGATGTCTCGATCCTCAAACACTCTCTGCTTCATTTGGAATAATGCTGCACTCGCAGAGATCAGGCGGTGTTGTATTTCGGTGTCAGTCTTGAATTTTGTGGAGAGGTGGCTGCCAAGGGAGCGGAAATGGTCCACATTTTCTAATGTTACAGCATTAAGCTGTATTTCTGGCATTGGAGAGGGATTGGCTGGTGACTGCTGGAACAGCACTTTGGTTTTCTCGATGTTCAATGTCAGGCCAAGCTTCTCGTATGCTTCTGGGAAGATGTTGTAGGTCTTCTTCTGAATGTGCACAGACTACGTTATCATTAGTATATTGGAATTCTATAATAGGTGGTGTTGTGACCTTGGTTTTGGCTTTCAGTTTACTGAGGTTAAATAGATTGCTATCTGTCTGATAGATGACTTCCACTCTAGTGGGAAGCTTCTTGTTAACAAGATGAAGTATTATAGCACTTTGGTTTTCGTGATATTTAATGAGAGGCTTGGGAAGGAATCCCGCGGGAGCATTGCAGCGCACCCAAATACCTGGGAGTCACTCTGGACCGTGCTCTGACCTACAAGAAGCACTGCTGAATATCAAGCACAAAGTGGGTGCTAGAAACAATATCATACGAATGCTGACTGGTACAACCTGGGGATCACAACCAGACACAGTGAAGACATCTGCCCTTGCGCTATGCTACTCTGCTGCTGAGTACGCATGCCCAGTGTGGAACACATCTCACCACACTAAAACAGTGGATGTGGCTCTTAATGAGACATGCCGCATTATCACGGGGTGTCTGTGCCCTACACCACTGGAGAAATTACACTGTTTAGCCGGTATTGCACCACCTGACATCCGCCGGGAAGTAGCAGCCAATAGTGAAAGGACCAAGGCAGAGACATCTCCAGCTCATCCCCTGTTTGGGTATCAGCCAGCACGTCAACGACTTAAATCAAGAAATAGTTTTCTAAGATCTACAGAGACACTCGCTGGAACACCTCAGCAATCGAGAGTCCAAAAGTGGCAGGCTCAAACCCAGAACCTCAATCCATGGGTGATACCAGGTGAGACTCCCCCCTGGGCACACAGAAGACTGGGCGACTTGGAAGGCGCTGAACAGACTGCGCTCTGGCACCACGAGATGCAGAGCCAACCGTGAGAAATGGGGCCACAAAGTGGAATCCACGACATGTGAGTGTGGAGAAGAGCAAACCAGAGACCTGCTGCAATGCAACCTGAGCCCTGCCACATGCACCATGGAGGACCTTCTTGCAGCAACACCAGAGGCACTCCAAGTGGCCAGATACTGGTCAAAGGACATTTAATCAACTACCAAGCTTGCAAACTTTGTTTTGTCTGTTTGTTTTGTTCTGTTAGAAATGTAATACAATGGTCTTGTTACTACAGGGAATACCATGGCTTTGACTATGCAGATCTTTGTTGCCAGTGTGATGTCTCTACTCTTTACTATTTTATCGAGACTGGACATTGCTCTCCTCCCAAGAAGGAAGCGTCTTCTGATTTCCTGGCCACAGTCTGCATCTGCAGTCATCTTTGCGCCTAGAAATACAAAGTCTGTCACGGTCTCCACATTTTCTCCCTCTATTTCCCAGTTGTCAATCATTCTTGTTGCCATAATCTTGGTTTTTTTAATGTTTAGCTGCAACCCAGCTTTTGTGTTTTCTTCTTTCACCTTTGCTCCTCCTCGCTTTCGGCCATCAAAGCGGTATCATCTGCATATCTAAGGTTGTTAATGATTCTTCCAGCCATTTTCACCCCAGCCTTGCATTCGTCAAGCCCCGCACATCGCATGATGTGTTCTGGATACAAGTCGAATAGGTTGGGTTTTTTGGGGGGGTTTTTTTGTCATGTCAGGAGTGACTTGAGAAACTGCAAGTCGCTTCTGGTGTGAGAGAATTGGCCGTCTGCAAGGATGTTTCTCAGGGGACGCCTGGATGATTTGATGTTTTTATCCTCCTTGTGAAAGCCTTTTCTCATGTCCCCGCATGAGGAGCTGGAGCTGATAGAGGGAGCTCATCCGCCTCTCCCCGACCTGACGGTCTTCAATCCTGCCGGCACAGGGGTGCCACCAGGGGCTCCCTATGTTTAGCTGCAACCCAGCTTTTGTGCTTTCTTCTTTCACCTTGATTAGAAGGCTCCTCAGCTCTACGCTTTTGGCCATCAAAGCAGTATCATCTGCATATCGAAGGTTGTTCCAGCAGTTTTCACCCCAGCATTCATCAAGCCCTGCATATTGTATGATTTGTTCTGCATACAAGTAGGTTGGCTGTTAGGAATTGTGGGGGAAGGAAGGAAAGAAATTGGAAGGAAGAGAGAGAAGGAAGGAGGGCATAGAGGGAGGAAAGAAGGATGGAAAGAGAGAGAAAATGAAGGAGGGAGTAGGGGGAGGAAAGAGAGAAAGAAGGAAGGAAAGAATGAGGAAGGAAGAGAGAAAGAAGGAAGGAAGGAGGGAGGAGGAGAGACGGATGGAAAGAGAGAGAGAAGGAAAGAATGAAAGAGGAAGGAGAAGAGAGAGAAGGAAGGAGGGAGTAGGAGGAGGAAAGAAGGATGGAAAGAGAGAGAGAAGGAAAGAAAGAAGGAGGAAGGAAAAGAGAGAGAAGGAAGGAGGGAGTAGAGGGAGGAAAGAAGAATGGAAAGAGGGGAAGAAGGAAGGAAGGAAAGAAAGAAGAAGGGAGAGAGAGAAGTAGGGAGGGAGTAGGGGAGGAAAGAAGAGTGGAAAGAGGGAAGGAAAAGGAGGGAGTAGGGGGAGGAAAGAGAGAAAGAAGGAAGCAAAGAATGAGGAAGGAAGAGAGAAAGAAGGAAGGAAGGAGGGAGGAGGAGGAGGAAAGAAGGATGGAAAGAGAGAAAGAAGGAAGCAAAGAATGAGGAAGGAAGAGAGAAAGAAGGAAGGAAGGAGGGAGTAGGAGGAGGAAAGAAGGATGGAAAGAGAGAGAGAAGGAAAGAATGAAAGAGGAAGGAGAAGAGAGAGAAGGAAGGAGGGAGTAGGAGGAGGAAAGAAGGATGGAAAGAGAGAGAGAAGGAAAGAAAGAAGGAGGAAGGAAAAGAGAGAGAAGGAAGGAGGGAGTAGAGGGAGGAAAGAAGAATGGAAAGAGGGGAAGAAGGAAGGAAGGAAAGAAAGAAGAAGGGAGAGAGAGAAGTAGGGAGGGAGTAGGGGAGGAAAGAAGAGTGGAAAGAGGGAAGGAAGAAACGGAGAAAGTAAGAAAGGAGAGAGAGAAGGAGGGGAGGAAAGAAAGGGTAGAAAGAGAGAAGGAAGGAAAGGAGAGAAGGGAAAGCAGGAAAGAGAGAGAAAAACGTGGAGGCAGGCAGAGAGGGAGGGAAAGAAAGGGAGGGCGGAAGGGAAGGAAGGAAAGAGAGGGAAGGAAGGAGAAAGAAGAAGGAACAAAGGAAGGAAGAGAGGAAGGGGAGGGGAGGAAAGAAAGAAAAGAAGGAACGAAGGAAGAAGAGAGAGGGGAAGAAAAGTAAAGAAGGAAGGAGGGGAAGAGAGAGAGGGGGAGAGGAGGAATTGTGGGAGTTGAAGTCCAAAACTCCTGGAGGGCCCAAGTTTGCCCATGCCTGGGCTACACAGTCCTGAGGCATGAGAGGGAATGGGGCTCCTCCCAAAAGGAGGAGGAGGAGGAGGAAAGGGAGGGTCCCCAAAGGCAGACCCCGCCTCGCCTGGCCTCGCCCCTCCCGGCCCAAGCAGGCAGCCAAGGCAAGGCAAGGCAAAGGCAAAGGCAAAGGCTTGGCTTGGCTTGGCTTTCCGGGGAGGGGGCGCCATGGCTGGGGGCCGCCCGGGGGTCCATGCCCTCCAGCTGGAGCCCCTGAAGGTCCACGAGACCCTCCTCAAGGGCAGCAAGTTCATGAAGTGGGACGAGGTGAGTGTGCCTGCCTTCCTCCTCTCCCTCCCTCTCTTTCTCTCTCTTTCCTTCCTTCTTTACTTCTTTTCTCTCCCTCCCTTTCCAATCTTTCTTCGCTTCTTCTTTTCTTAACTTCCCTCTTTCCTGCTCTCCCTCCCTCCCTTCTCTCTTCCCTCCTCTCTCCTTCCTTCCTTCTCCTTCTCTTCTTCCCTTCCTTCCCTTCCTTCTTCTTTCCCTCCTCTTTCCTCTCCTTCTCTCTCCTTTCCTTCCTTCTCTCTTTCTATCTTTTCTTTCCTCCCCTCCTTCTCTCTCTCCTTTCTTACTTTCTCCTTTTCTTCCTTCCCTCTTTCCACTCTTCTTTCCTCCCCGACTCCCTCCGTCCTTCTCTCTCTCTTCCTTCCTCTTTCTTTCTTTCCTTCTCTCTCTCTTTCCATTCTTCTTTCCTCCTCCTCCCTTCTTTCTCTCTTCCTTCCTCATTCTTTCCTTTCTTCTTTCTTTCCTCCCCCTACTCCCTCCTTCCTTCTCTCTCTTTCCCTTTCCTTCCTTCTTTCTCTCTTTCCTCCCCCTACTCCCTCCTTCCTTCTCTCTCTCTTCCTTTCCTTCCTTCTTTCTCTCTTTCCTCCCCCTACTCCCTCCTTCCTTCTCTCTCTCTTCCTTTCCTTCCTTCTTTCTCTCTTTCCTCCCCCTACTCCCTCCTTCCTTCTCTCTCTCTTCCTTTCCTTCCTTCTTTCTCTCTTTCCTCCCCCTACTCCCTCCTTCCTTCTCTCTCTCTTCCTTTCCTTCCTTCTTTCTCTCTTTCCTCCCCCTACTCCCTCCTTCCTTCTCTCTCTCTTCCTTTCCTTCCTTCTTTCTCTCTTTCCTCCCCCTACTCCCTCCTTCCTTCTCTCTCTCTTCCTTTCCTTCCTTCTTTCTCTCTTTCCTCCCCCTACTCCCTCCTTCCTTCTCTCTCTCTTCCTTTCCTTCCTTCTTTCTCTCTTTCCTCCCCCTACTCCCTCCTTCCTTCTCTCTCTCTTCCTTTCCTTCCTTCTTTCTCTCTTTCCTCCCCTCCTTCCTTCTCTCTCTCTTCCTTTCCTTCCCTCTCTCTTTCCATCCTTCTTTCCTCTCCCTACTCCCTCCTTCTCTCTCTTCCTTCCTCTTACTTTCCTTCCTTCCTCCTCTCTCTCTTTCCTTCCTTACATTACTGTCGTCTTCCCTTCTTTGCAGCCTATTTCCTCCTCCTCTTTCCTTGCTTCCTTGTTTACTTTCCTTCCTTCTCTCTCTTTCCATCCTTCTTTCCTCCCCTACTCCCTCCCTCCTTCTTTCTTTCTCTCTTCCTTCCTCTTTCTTTTTTTCCTTTCTTTGTTCTCTCTCTCTTTCCATACTTATTTCCTCCCCTACTCCCTCCTTCCTCTCTCTTCCTCTCTCTTTCTTTCTTTTCTTCCTTCCTTCCTGCCTTCCTTCCGTCCTTCTCTCTCTCTTTCCTTCTTTCCTCCCCCTACTTCCTCCATCTCTTTTCCTTCCTCTTACTTTCTCTCTTTCCTTCCTTCCCTCTCTTCCCTTCCTTACATTCCTTTCTTCTTTCCTTCCCTCTCTTTCCAGCCTATTTCTTCCTCCTCTTTCCTTCCTTCCTTCCTTGTTTACTTTCCTTCCTTCTCTCTATTTCCATCCTTCTTTCCTCCCCTACTCCCTCCTTCCTTCTCCCCCCTTCCATCACTTTTCCCTTTCCTTCCTTCTCTCTCTCTTTCCTTCTTTACTTTCTCTCGCTCATTCTTCCCTCTCTCTTTCCATCCTTATTTCTTACCCCTTTCTCACTCTCCTTCCTTCCTTCTTTACTTTCCCTGCTTCTTTTTCTCCTCCCTTACTTTCTCTCTTTTTTCCTTCCCTCTCTCTTTCCAGCCTATTTCCTCCCCCTCTTTCTCTCCTTCCTTCCTTCTTTACTTTCCTTCCCTCTCTTTCCATCATTCTTTCCTCCCCTACTCCTTCCTTCTCTCTCTTGCTTTCTTCCTTCACTTTCTCTCTTCCTTTCCTTCCTTCTTCCTCTCTCTCTCCCCCACTTTCTCATTTCCTTCATTCCGTCTCTCTCTTTCCATCCATCTTTTTTTCCACCCTTGAATCTCTCCTTCTCTTTCCTTCTCTCTTTCGCTTCCTCTTCCTTTCCTTCCTTCTCCATCTATCATTATTTACTTTCTCTCTCTCTCTCCTCTCTCTTTCCATCCTTCTTTCCTTCCCCTACTCCCTCCCTCCTTCTCTCTCTCCTTCCTTCCTTCACTTTCTCTCTCTTCCTCTTTCCTTCCTTTTCTCTCTCCCACTTTCTTTCTCCTTTCCTTCCCTCTCTCTTTCCATCCATCTTTTTTTCCACCTTCCTTCCCCCCCATCTTTCCTTCTCTCCTTCCTTCCTCTTCTTTCCTTCCTTCTTCTTTTCTTTCTTTCTTTTTTCTCTTTCTTCCTTCCCTCTATCTTTCTCCTTTCCTCCCTTCTTCTCTCTCTCTCCTTCCTTCCTTCTTTCTCTTCCTCTTTCCTTCCTTCCTTCTCTCTCTGTCTTTTCTTCTTTACTTCCTCTTTCCTTCCTTCCTTCTCTCTCACACACCTTTACGTTCTCCTTTACTTCCTTCCTTCTTTCTCTTTCTATCATTCTTTTCCCCCATCCTTTTCTCTCCACCATTCCTTCCTTCACTCTCTCTCTCACTTCCTCTTCTTCATTCCTTCTCCATCTATCTTTCATTCTTTACTTTTTCTCTCTCTTCCTTCCTCCTCCCTCTTTCCATCCTTTCTTCCCCTACTCCCTCTCTCCTTCTCTCTCCCCCCTTCCTTCCTTCACTTTCTCTCTCTCTTCCTCTTTCCTTCCTTTTCTCTCTCCCACTTTCTTTCTTCTTTCCTTCTTTCCATCTCTCTCTTTCCATCCTTCTTTCCCCCATCCTTTTCTCTCCGCCATTCCTTCCTTCCTTCACTCACTCATTCACTCCTCTCTTCTCCTCTCTTCTTTTCTTCTTCCTTCTCTTTCTTCTTTCTTCTTACTTTCTTTCCTTCCCTCTCTTTTTCCTCCTTCCTTCTTCCTCTCCTTCCTCTTCTCTCTCTCCTTCCTTCCTTCCTTCCTTCCTTTCCTTCCTTCCTTCCTCCTTCTTCTCTTCTCTCTCTTCCTCTTCCTTCCTCCCTTTCTTTCTCCCTTTCTTTCTCCTTTCCTTCCTTCCCTCTCTTTCCATTCTCTTTCCCTTCCTTCCTCCCATCCTTCTCTCTCTCTCTCTCCTCGCTTCCTCTTCCTTTCCCTTCTTCTATCTTTCATTCCTTACTTTTTCCTCACAGCTCCTGTCTTCCTTCCCCTACTCCCTCCCTCCTTCTCCCTCTTCCCTTCCTTCCTTCACTTTCTCTCTCTCTCTTCCTATTTCCTTCCTTCTCTCTCTGTCTTTTCTTCTTTACTTTCTCTCTTCTTTCCTGCTCTTTCTGTCATTCCTCCCCTTTTAGGAAACCCCCGCTTCCTCCTACTCCATTTCCTCCTTTTTCAGGCAATAAACCCCTTTCTTCCTTCTTTCCATCTTCGGATGCTGCTTTGGGGGACCCCCTCCTTTCCCTCTTTGGTTCAAGCCCCCCCAATCTTCCTATGGGGAGAAAGAGGGGCTCCTTACCCCCCCCCTCCCCTCCCCTCCATTTCTGCATTCTGGGAAGTCTCAGTGTTGACCTCTTCCTCTGAGTTTACTCCTCCTCTTTGCTTTATCTCTGAAGACACTCCTCAAATTCCTTTCCTTGCAAACCTCTTTGCATGTTTTGCAAAACTTTTGCTTAAGAGACTTAAGGAAAGTGCTCTGCAGAAAGGACTTTCTCCCCTCTCCCTTTGTGGCCTGTCCTTGCAAAACTTTGTCTTCTTTTTCATCTCATCTGGAAAGAGAGGGAGGCTCCCTTTGTTTACATTTCACCTATTTATTTGGGTAGGGAAGCATCCAATGCGCACAGGCTACATTATCATCGGCATATTGGGTTTATCTACACGGGGAATCACGTATATATGCCAAGTTTGGTCCCGATCCATGGGTGTTTGGGATCATATGGATGTAGGTGAACTACAACTCCCCCAAATCAAGGTGAATTCCCCTCAAAGACCTCCAGTATTTTTTACTGGTCATCCATGTGGCAACTTTGGCCCAATTCCATCTTTGGTTGAGTTCAGAGTACTCATTGATTTCAGATGAACTATAAATCCCGGTACATACAATTCCAAAATGTCCAGGCCAATCCCCCTCCAAACCCACCAGTCATGAGGGTTCTGTGTGCCCAGTTTGGTCCAGATCCATCATCGGTAGAGGTTACTGTTTCTCTGGTTGAAGGGTGAACTACAACTCCCAGAAAGGAAGGTAAATACTCCCCAAAGACCTCCAGTATTTTTTACTGGTCATGGAGGCTCTGTGTGCCAAGTTTGGCCCAATTCCATCTTTGGTGGAGTTCAGATGGCAGGTGAACTATAAATCCCAGTACATACAACTCCAAAATGTCCAGGCCAACTCCCCTCCAAACCCACCAATATCCAAATTGTAAACTACAACTCCCACTATGGTGCGTCGGTCCCTTCAAACCCATCCAGTAGGTTGAGTTAGTTATGGGGGTTCTGTGTGCCCAGTTTGGTCCAGGTCCATCATCAGTAGAGGTCATTGTTTCTCTGGTTGAACTACAACTCCCAGAAAGGACGGTCAATTTTCCCCCAAACCCCCTCAGTAATCAATTTTGACGTATCCGGTACGTGTGCCAAGTTTGGTCCAGATTCACCAGTGTTTTGGTTCACAGTTCTCTCTAGATGTAGGTGAACTACAATTCCCCCAAATCAAGGTGAATTCCCTCCAAAGACCTCCAGTACTTTTTCACTGATTACGGGGGCTCCGTATGCCAAGTTTGGCCCAATTGCGTCTTTGGTGGAGTTCAGAGTGTTCATTGATTTCAGGTGAACTATAAATCCCAGTACACACAACTCCAAAATGTCCAGGCCAATTCCCTTCCAAACCCACCAGCATTCTATTTTGGCATATTGGGTATGCATGCCAAGTTTGGTCCAGATC